CCCCCCCCCCCCCAGCCCCCACCCCTCTATTGCTGGATGCGTTGCTGGAAACAACACACAGAAGCAAAGGCGATAGATGCAGTTGCTCCTGTTTAAGAGAAATGGCGCAAATGTATACACGCATGACAACATTCTTTATTAAAATGTAAGTAATGTAACTAGTAACCTCTTAACATGACAGATTTTTCCTGCTGTCTTGGTAACTACAAAGCTGATATGATATGTCAACTAAATAAATAAAAATAAATAAATCACATTTTTTAAGTGTCGAAGTGTTTAACACTACTGCAATAATTGGGGACACTGAAATAAGAAAACAAATGTTGTAACCTGAAGATTTGCAAGGGGGCGCAGTTTTTTCAACAAATGGGCCAAAGTCTTGTTTATGTTCACTTTTGTTTATAACATCCAACAATTGGCAACTGGCACAGAATACCTTGCTAGCATGAAACAACAGGTAGATTATAGGAATGAAAATGTTCCACTGTTTACCAAAAATCATCCACAACCATTTTACCTACAGAATGTCATAGCCAACAAGCCACGAAAATATATACAGACTGTAAACAAGAGCCCTACAGCTGGACACTTTGACAAGTGAAAAGCTGTTTATAAAGGCGTCAATGTTAATCAGTTTAATAAGCATAATAGAGTATCCAGTAACTAACTGGTGTCAATGGTCGTTAAGAGGTGTTAAGTTCAGCCTTTAAGTGAGCAATTACACTACAGCAAATTACTAGTAAAATTGCCAATTAGAATGAGTTTTCAATCGATTTTGAAACTGATTCCTCAGATGATGTTTAAGCAGTTCCTTTCAGGATAACGCTCACTAATTATATCCCGTTCTCGCCAACATGTTAAACATGTTTAAAAGTGGTTTAACTTTTTAAAAACTAGTTGCTTATGCTGTGCAAACCCCACAACTAAACAAGGCAAAAACCTGTTTGATTAAAATATCTGAGTAAGATGGTTTTGAAATTTCTCTTCTCAAAATGACTACAAAGCGAAATTGACAAATTGGAGAAAACCAAACCTGATTTAGTTGAACTAGTTTAGTTGGTGTGAATGGGGCATTATGAGAGGATTTCATTAAACAACTGAATAACCGTGAGACTTCTTCCGCAGGCCTTTTTATTTTACAACCGTGACTCTTGCGACTCGTTTGTCAGTCTGGGTGTCATCTCATCTTCGTCCTTTTTCAAGCTACCTTTTGCCAATTGTAATTTATTGCCGGTCATTCGAGAAAATGCATTGTACATCTTCCTGTTCAAGCTAATGCACAACCATGGGTTAATGGCGCTGTTGTTGTAGCCAAACCAATAGCAGACTGTCTGGACAAGTGGTAAATGTTTGGCTGTTACTGCTAAGTACAGCTGAGACACCTGCCCGGGAAGCCAACAGAGAGCAAACGCTGTGAAAACGATGATGAGCATTCGGACAACCTTTCTCTTGGTCTGCTGCTGTCGTTGCCGATTTTGGTTCAAGCCTTCTCCTGGTGCCTCATGGAACCACAACTTACGAGCAGTAATGGTGTAGAGGACGGAAATGATACTTACAGGCAGCAAATAGTTGATGACGAAAAAGTAAATGAAAACTCCGCGAATGACTTTCGATGTTTCTCCCAAAATGGAAAACTTGGCTATGCACATATATTCCGAGTTTTCAGGATACCATTGCAAAACTATAAAAACCGGAACGATAGACATCAACGCCATTGACAAGAGCCAGACGACTGGTGTGAGGACTATGGGTTTTCGGAACCAAAGAAGGCGTCGGAATGGATAAACCACTGCATAAAATCTGTCAACCGCCATAAATGTCAGGCAAAGAATGGACGTGGTTATTGTGAAGAAAGCGGCGTATATTACTGCTTTACACGTGATTTGTCCAATAAGACCAGTCATCGGCCACACACCGTGAGTGTAGGAATCGGACACGGTGTAAGGGATCACAACCAAGGTGACCAGTAAATCCGCAACGGCCATGTTGACGAACATGAAGCTGGTCATTGATCTTACGTCAGGTTTCTTCCACACGATGTAGAGTAGAAGAATGTTCCCGACCAATGATACCAGCATCGTTATGATGTACATAACGGTAAATATGATGTTTTCTACTTGTGACACCATTCCTGCTAAAAAGCAAACATTTTCATTATTACCGAGTTGCACGCAAATTTGTCACTAAATTGGTTATAATTTTTATGGAGTATAATTGCTCTCATTTACGGGTAGTTAAGTTTTGAATTCGATGGTTTGTCCGTTGGTGCATCCGTTTTTTCGTTCGTCCATTTGATCGTTTGTTTGTTCGTTCTTTTGGTCGTTTCTTGGACATTTTATCAGAGAATATCCTTCTTATTGACCGGGCATATTTTTCTGAGACGTTATCGAGCGTGCCCGTCAATATAGTCAGTTCAGCAGGCTCGGTGCATAAACTTGCAAAAACAAAAAGTTTTTTCGTTGGTACATTCGTTTATGCGTCCGTTCGTCCGTCCGTCCGTCAGTTCGTCCATCCGTCTGTCCGTCTGTGTGTTTGTCCAGAATGATAAACATATCATATCTTCTGAATAACATTATCAGTGCAACTTTGAAATTACATCGATCTGTCATTCTAGTAGGTTATTGATAGCATATCACAACGGATAGGCCTGCAATATTTGCTCGATTAGTTTGGATTGTCTTTTATAGTATTTTTCTATCCTTTCTCACCTTGAATTGGTTGTCTCAGTTCAGGAGTTTGTTCAGTCCTTCAACTGCAAAACAATGTAAGGAAGTAAAAATGTTTTTTTTCTGAATGGCGCCAAGTCTTAACGTTGATCTAACTTTTGTCTTTTCACGAGACAGCGGAACTTAAAACGTCATATCTTCTGCATAACATTATCAGTGCAACTTTGAAATTACATTAATCTGTCATTCTAGTAGGTTATTGATAGCATATCACAACGGATAGGCCTGCAATATTTGCTCGATTAGTTTGGATTGTCTTTTACCGTTTGACGTGGCGCCCCCGTCTTGCTCTAAAGCAAGTTATATCGCACAAATGGAAAGCTCCAGTTAGTGGACGAGGTTGCTGTCAAGTTTTATTGAAATTATGCCATGAATATAAACAAGCCTGAATCTGATTAAAAGTTTCAGCAAGTAAATGCTGTTGCACCATCCATTCTGGATAGTTTATACCTGCGAATATTTTGAACGGAATAATCATCTTAAAAAAAGGGATAAGTAGGCAAAAGGCGGAAGCAGCGAAAGATCAGAAACATTGAGCGTATATACGGTGTTTGAAACTAAAGTTTGACAGCGCTCGCCATTAGGTCGAGTGACTCTCAAAATGCATTCGCCCGCTGTAATTTTCACTCGCCCAGAAGGATGCCTTCCCTCTCCCAAAGAATACTCCGCAATGATTTTTAAACCATACGTTTTGCACTATCACGGAGGCCGAGCTTACCATCTCGCGTGTGTTGAGTTTTCTTGTTCTGCCGGTCTATTTAAAATAGTTAATTTAGGATCCGGGACCGATTTTAACTGTTTCATCCTCGTTTATATCACCAACTTTTAACACTCCTTGGAAAATTTTCCAAATTTCCTTTGTTTTAACTGAAAAACAGCTAAACGAACAGCTGTCACTACCCAGCTACAATCGAGACATTGGAGAAACGTAACACTTATCGGCAAGTGGAAGACTGACGTTTTTTCCTGCAATGAAATATCATACTTAAAAGATCTTAAACCCAAAGATGACTACAACGGTGGCACTTAAAGTTTTAAAGCAGTTTCTGTTTCAAGATAAATTAAGGTGGCCCAATAGGCGAAAAGGGACCAAAACGTTTGTTTAAATATGGCGAAGAATGATAAACAATGCGCGATTGCATTTATGAAGAGAAAATAAATTTTAAAAGTTTTACGTAAAATGGTTGTTACGGCAACCAGCCACGCCCTTTTGAGGTTTTAATTTATAGCATTGACGTCAACAGTTCCTGTTCTTTTAAAATACAACATTTGACTTTCAAACAAGCTCACCTTGACAGTTTCTGCTGCGTTCTGTGCAATGAGCCAAAGTTTAGCTTGACCTTTAGCTTGTTCCAAATCAACTAATGTGGACAAATCGAGAACTCCAGTGTTATTGGTTACGGTTCATGTCAATACAAACAAATAACAAGCCTGAATCCAATTGGAAGTCAGAGCTGTTACAACATCCATTCTAGTTAGTTTATACGAGCGAATATTTTGGACGGAATTATTATTTTTTAAGCAGAGGACGGAAGCAGCAGAAGATCAGAACTAAAGCGAGTGGAAATTTTAGCACGAATAAGATCTTGCCTTACTCTTAAAGCAGCGAAGTGTGTCCACCATACACTTATAGATCCAATCCTGTGTTATACGGACACCTTGTGGGGTGAATTGTTAGCCACCTCCAGCAAAATTTTACAACGGTTACAAAATCGCGCTGCCCGCATGGTTTTAAGGCGTGACTCTTCCAACTGAGACACTTTTAATGTTTTAGGGTGAGTTGAGCTAGAAACAAAGCGAAAAAGACATAAATGTACTTTAGTATATAAATGTCTAAATAATCTAGTACCTAAATATTTGAGTGACTATTTCACAAGAAATTATAACGTGCATAATTACAATACTCGCAGAAGAAGAGATTTGCCCCCTGCCCAAACCCAACCTTTAGATATTCGGGCTTAGCTTTTTTTAACCTCTTACCCCGTAGCATTCAAAACGCCGAGTCACTTTCTTCTTTCAAAGTTTCAATTGACGCCTACAATTTTTAAATTATATAGGAACTAGATTTTTATAAATTATTGCATGCTTGTTTATATTATACTCTATACTTTAAATTATTACTTGTAAATTTAATTTATATCTTGTATTTTTTAAATTTTATCTTGTATTTTAAATTATTACGATGTCTTTTATCTTTAATAATTATATTTTTAGTCCAGGGCCCCTCGGGATATCAGCCACGTCGCTGAATGGGCCACCCAGGCTAAATAAAGTTTACCTTTACCTTTTACCTTTAACATTGTGCGTATATATATTTGTGCGGGAAGAAACTAAAGAGGAAAAACAAGTCTGGCTGCTGGTTTAACGAAGAGAGGAGGTGAATCAGAGTGACAAAAGCCGTCTAATTATACCTAAGCAGGAAACAACTATGTATACGAAGGATATTTCTTCAAAAAATACTTTATGTTGCTTTTAGGAGAAAGTTGTGCCCGATTTTGCCTTTCAAAAGAGAGAGAGAGAGAGAGAGAGAGAGAGAGAGAGAGAGAGAGAGAGAGAATTGGAATTTTACCTTATTTGTGTACATATCTTTCCCTTGATGCTTCTCTATTTCTTTAGTGTCTATCACACTCAGAGGTAAAGTCTGGTCTCGGTTTATTTTAGCGTCTCGCTTAAATAATTACAAAGTTAATTGCTTGACTGATCCCCTCACTAACTCACTTACGTCTTTACTTTACTTTGTTTACTTAATGGATGAGTTTTGTGGTGAGCGCGAATTGTAAAATTCAAATACCGTGTAATAGCCTGCCGTCCCTATTTACCAAAAATAAAAAATAAAAAAACAAAAACAAAAACAAAACAAAACAAAACAAAACAAAAAACACACACACAAAAAACGCGATTTTGAAGTTATTAGCATCTGTAAAACAACAGTGCCCTGAGAATCGAGAAGAACCATCGGTGTTATAGTCTGGATGCGATTTTATGGAGGTAAGACACCAAAACGTTAAGTTCAGTTAACCGGATTTACGCATAACACCCTAACTTCTTTAAATGAAAACAGCAATGAAAAAAGAACAAGGATTTTACCATTATTTACGGCTCCATGCTGAAATGACCCGAACAACTCCTACATACACAGAGGTGGGAGTTTCGTTTGTCGATGTGTTTTGATCCACGACAAACACGGGAAAAATATAGTGAAGATTGGTTGAACTTTAGCTGAAAAGGAGTAATTCTAACGCAGAAAATTGTAATAAGCCTAGTTGAAATCCATCTCACCTTTTCACTTTTGCAATGCGATTGAAAGAAAACAGATGGTCAAACAACAGCCCAAAGTTTTCTTCAAATGAAGCAAGATGACCGCTGTGTTTCTACGGCTTGCAGTGCCATCGTTTTATATGTTTTCTATTTGTAAGTTAATTTATGACCAATATAAAGAACAGGTGCAGGGAGAAAAAGATTCATTAAAATGTCTGTCACCTAAACTGTCACCGATCTAATGGCCAAGTTGGAGCATACATGGTTTCAACGGAACAGTTTTTTGTTTATTTCAAGCTATGGCTTTTAAGAAGTTGAGTAAATGAATGAATGAAAGACTATATTTAAGTGCCAAAGGGTATTTAGGTTTAAAAAGCACTAATTGGGGACACTTGCTATTGCACTACCATTCTGCACATCGACTGCTACTTGGTTTAATTGCAGATTGGGCATCATTTATTTCAAAACATGGTCCGTGATGACGTTTTTTTTATTAAAAAATATCTATGGCAAATGCTTTAGTTCAGTATAAGCAATACTGTTCATTATTGACCTTCATGATATGTAGAAAAGAGTAAAGATGAAGAAGGAATCTACCAGAAGCTCGAGTAACAAGCGGACAAAAACTTTGTACAAAGAATATTTACATTGTATTGCAAACTTCTGTGCGACTGTTTTTAATATCTTCTCAACAGAATATCATTTCTAACAACACCAAACATGGAAAACAAATTTTAAAGTTCATAAAAACACCACAAAGTACTGGTGAAATGTTGATCATCATGAAATTTTACTCGTGCTGGGAAAATGTCTATGAACTTTGAAATTTATTTTCTCGTGTTCCCGCTGAAAGTTGTTTTTGGCGTTATTTCAGGCAACTATTTATATTTTTAGCTTTTAACAACAGCAACAACAACAAGCTTTATTACCAGATTAAAAGTTAAACTTAAATAACAGCATAATATATTAATACAAATGAAGGTAACATTCCCTCAGAACAACTAAAAAGCTAATCGAACTGAAAATGCAAAAAAGAAAGAAAAATGCAAAACAGAAAATGCAAAAAAGACTGTTATCACTAAAAAATTATTCTGGTACAAGGTTTTTGTCCACTAAAATCTGACATTGCTCGATTTCCTATCGGATATCATCTTTTATTCGATTCACTGAAGTAATTTTTTTTTTCTGTGCCATGGGAAGTTTAACCATACCGTGCATGTCCAAAGCTTTCAAATTCCTTATTTTACGCTCCACAAAAATCTTTCCGGTAATACGATTCTTACCGAAGAGAGTTTTCTCGCAGCTTAGATAGATACATGATATCTTATTGAAAGGTTTCTAGCGGCATACATTTTGTAACTTTGCGCAAATTCGTCTTTGTTTATATTTAAGTTTTAAATAACATAGCCATTAGTTTAGCTTTGGTGTTCTGAACATCCAATAGGCCCCTGCCTCTTCTCAGTTCGAAAAGAGTTCAAGTTCATGAACTTGAACTCTTTTCGAACTGAGAAGAGGCAGGTTCACAGACGGTTTCGGAACTCTTAAATAGCGAGCAGGTTGCGTAAAATAAATCATGAGAGTTAAAAGGTTTTAAAAGCGACGAGTACTTCGCCATTAATCAACTTCCTCATGCTTGGAATCGACAGGAAATCAACTCTTTTAGTCCACTTATCAACCAGCAACTTCCTCTAACCGGAGAGATACATAGCGCATAATTGTATGAAAGAGGAAAACCCCTTCCACTATCTGTGTGTAAATTATAATACTTTTCAAATACGTGCTCGTTGATATTACCAACGTTTAAAAAAGGAGACTTGTTGTTACAGGTATATAGAAACGAAAACTGCTAAGTATTACTTAAACAATATTAGTACTAAAAATTCTTCAATCAGCAATATTTTGGTTTAGTTCGAAGTGATTTTCAATAATTATCTTGAGTGATTCACATACGTAGCAAACTATCAGACAAGACAGCATCAACAGCAGCAACAACAACAACAACCTTTATTTAAACACGATCTGGTTTGAAGCAATAGGTTTGCTTGTGGGGCGAGATTCAGACACCGGAAGAAGTTTCATTTTCTTCACAAAAGAAGAAACGTGTGTATCACCTTAATTTCCACATCAGCGTGGGCTACCTATGGATGCCAGTTCTGACAACTTCACTTAATTTCCTTTCTTAGCTATCATTTCACTTGATCATATGCAAGTTATTTATGGATCACTTAATGTCCTGCTTGTACCCGCGCGTCCTGAATTAACATGTCTATCTAATCTAATCGTAGGCTTCTTCGTGATGAAAACAAGCAAAAACACTCTCTAGAAGAAATGGTGAATAAATGAAGAAAACGTTTGGCTTTTAAGGTTGCTCGAACCTATTTCTACATCTTCGCGCTTTGATCACTTTGCAAAGTTTCGCTTTATTGACAAGAAGGATTTAACCGCTTTCCTTGTGTTTTTTGGCAGCCTAAATGGTTGTTCGGCTATTTTAATGGCTATTTCGGGGTTTGACCGTGCACAAAACGTAGCAAATGCAAAATCTTGTTATGTGTGCTCATACAACTACAAATAGAAGCATTTCGATTACGTAATTCACGCATAGTCTATGAGCACAAAACAAAAGATGTGTAGGGTCAGCGACCTTCCAACAGAACTCTCAGCATGTTTGCTCGCTTTTTTGATGTTGAACGGCCTTTCTAACCATTGCCCTCCATTAACTATGAATAGACGAATACCACTGATTGTTTTATTCATAAGCATTTGACTAATTCACATGTGTCTGTTTTGTCTCCTTTATCTCTGCGAGTGTCATATCTGTTACCCCCGTTTTCCACAAACGATTTCCCATGAGTCTTTTCCTACCAATCAGTGTAGAAAATGCATGGTTGATCTTGCTGTTCAAACAAATGTACAACCATGGGTTAATGGCGCTGTTGTTGTAGCCAAACCAATAGCAGGTTGCGGTGACAATTGGTAAATCCTTGGGCCATTCCGTTATCGCTAAATACAGCTGGAACACCTGCCCAGGAAGCCAACAGAGAGCAAACGCAGTGAAAACGATGATGAGCGTTCGGACAACCTTTCTCTTGGTCTGCTGCTGTCGTTGCCGATTTTGGTTCAAGCCCTCACCTGGTGCCTCATGGGACCACAACTTACGAGCAGTAATGGTGTAGAGGACGGAAATGATACTTACAGGCAGCAAATAGTTGATGACGAAAAAGTAAACGTACACCCCGCGGATGGCTTTCGATTTGTCTCCCAAAATTGAAAAGTCCACCTGACACACATATTCCGAATTTTTAGGATGCCATTGCAAGACAACAAAAACAGGAGCGATAGACATCAACGCCATTGACAAGAGCCAGACGACTGGTGTGAGGACTTTGGGTTTTCGGAACCAAAGNAAGAGCCAGACGACTGGTGTGAGGACTATGGGTTTTCGGAACCAAAGAAGGCGTCGGAATGGATAAACCACTGCATAAAATCTGTCAACCGCCATAAATGTCAGGCAAAGAATGGACGTGGTTATTGTGAAGAAAGCGGCGTATATTACTGCTTTACACGTGATTTGTCCAATAAGACCAGTCATCGGCCACACACCGTGAGTGTAGGAATCGGACACTGTGTAAGGAATCACAACCAAGGTGACCAGTAAATCCGTAACGGCCATGTTGACGAACATGAAGCTGGTCAGTGATCTTACGTCAGGTTTCTTCCACACGATGTAGAGTAGAAGAATGTTCCCGACTAATGATACCAGCATCGTTATGATGTACATGACGGTTAATACGATGTTTTCTGCGGAAGACATCCTCCTCTTAGTGTTTGTCAGTCTAAAGAAAGTGAGAAAGTCAGTCAGAAAGTTCTCGGTGGACCACTATCATTGTCAACGATTAACTGATAGTGAAATAAAGAGACTGGGAAGCCTTCTGTTTGGCACGTCGCAGTTTAGATACTGGCTGGGATCGTTTCTGTTCTTGGACAAGGCACTTAAGTCTCAAAGTGCTCAGTCCTCTTAACCCAAAATGGGTATCAGTGAGCTGATAGGTTAATCTGACATAGCATTGGGAGTTACACATTAAATTACAAATAATTACAAATTTTGAAGAACTGCTACTTCTAGACTTCCCAATCATTTTTATAAGCTGTCGTTGCACTGAGACGCCGTCGCGATTTATTCCACTGCCGTTTGGGCTGAGACACTGTTAAGGGAAAGTGTCTTGCCCAAGAACACAACGAAATGGCCCCAGGTGGCCGCTTCTGATTATCTGACTGAGGAAATTACTTCATTGTGATTGGCTAAGAGTAGGACAGTCTAACGCGCGCTATCGTAATATTTATACGGGCGTAGACCTTATGGTCAACTTTGTCCCTGATTATATACCTGGTGTAAATTTAAGTATCACAACTATACGCTGTAGGGTGAATATGTAGGGTGTAGGGTGAATTTCGAAACTGTCACATGATAGCTGATGTTTCATGACCGTTTTACGTATCTTTGGTGTTTATGGCTAGTGACTATACAATCGCTTGATCGCTCTGACAGTAACAGTCACCGAAAAAAAAAAAAAGTCGTTTAGTGCTCTTTGCGATCATTTAAAACAACTCTTGAGCGATAGTAGCGACCACAGCGGTCATTTCGTATACGATCACTGGTGATGATCGGCGATGATTGCTATTATACGGGGACAGCTCTCCAGAGATCGTTGTTACGGTTATAGGAATATCAGAATACACTTCGTCGTTGTCTGATCCAGTTCCTCTCGGGCGTTTTCTTATTCTGCATCGATCGTGATAATCTTCTGTGTTGAAACGTAACATAGAGCGAGGTCGCACACATATTTTTGTAGCTATCTTAGCAATTGTAGCGATCATATTGAAACCAGCATTTACTACCCTGCAATCAGCGTGAAAATGCACAAAAACCAAAGCTCGTAATCTAAAGAGTGCCTGCCGGTAAAAATCAGACAAATTCTTAATTTCGCAGCAAATGTCGAAACTTCGATTTCGCTCATATTTTTATGGTAGATAGGCTAGGGCATGACAAAAACTATTGGATAGTTTTTTTTTGGCAAAATATCCTTTTATTTCAAAGAAAAATGCAAATTACCAAATTCCGTTAAAATCGTCATTTGACGCACCATTTTATTAAACAAGTTCGAAAGCGCCGCGTGCAAAAGGACATCTTTCGTCTTTAAAACACTCAAATAGTCTTGTGCAATGTTTAAATATTTACTAGGTTGATTTGGGGGAATGTTGCGTTGTCTTTTTGGGTGCAAAATAATTAAATTTCGAAGACATGTATTTTATTCACTTAAAAGTACTTCGTAAATATAATTAATTTTCACCATGTGCGAAACCTTCAGATGAATTAAGCTTCTGGTGGTTGAATCGTAGAAGGATGGTCCACAGATTCCTGTAAAAAAATTTTTGGGCAAATGATTGTGAGCGACGCGAGAGCTTTTCAAAGTGCGTCAAAAATGCAAATTTGACCTTCCGTCGTCAAATTTCAATTTACAGGTTAGACATATATTTTAGCATGCGCCACATGTCTTGACCTATATTAAGTTGAAATTGACAAAGAGCTGATAATATTGAAATGTTCTAACCTTGTTTGCTGTAAAAGGCAGGTCCGAAAGCCGATTTACCGTGTTTCTCTCACCATTCGGCCCATTTGAAGCAGTAAAGTTTTTCTGTTTACAGTACGTCCGATGTACGTCGCCAGTTGTTAACGTATTTAATGGTTGAATACCATGAATCTGTGATCATCTTTGACAGGCCTTCACGACTCCTTCAGTTCGTGACATTTGTACATTTGCCGTACTCTCTTAGGTCTCTCGACCTTTTAGTTGTGTTTATGAAGGGCGCTTTATGTTGTGTTATAAGGAGGATTTTTAAGTAGAGTTGAGCCGTTAGACCGTGCTATGGCAAAGTTTTTGAGGTCAACCCATTTTATGGACAGGCCCGTTCTACATCGTGCGAGACATACCAACACTCAACCAACGTCAAGGAGCATAAGGCCCAATAATACGCACTCAGAACGTGTGTGTTTATATCAAAATAGCTCCACACTGCAGATTAGCCATAGAGTGCGTAAAAATCTGGATGCCGTCAAAGAAACACAAAATAACGAGGTCGAGCTTCAAATTAAACAAATAAGGATCAAAAAGTACACTACGCCATTAGGGGTGGCGAATGGTAAATGCGAGACTTTGCGAGACGACGAGATAAGCGTTTTTCTTTGCGAGCCCGAGACATTTTGATTTCTTCAATTGCGAGACCGAGACTTTAAAGTGTTTTAAATGCGAACTCAAGAGGTCCAGGTTCTAAGATGTTGTGATGTCATTTAACTTTACTTAAAAAAAAAATAAACAAATCGGTACTTCGCTACTTTCTTAGCCTTGAAAAAAAATCGAGAATGCGAGACAGCTTTGTGAAGAAAATCGAGACTGTGAGACGCACATAACCGCTAAAAAATGAGACTGCGAGACCCGTGAAATTCGGCGAAAATTTTGCCGAACTTTTGTCAACTAAGACCGCCGTCTAATTAGCATATATAATGACGTGAAAACAACGATGCACAAAGAAAATGATGATATATTCCACTTACCTCGCGACATGTCGACAACTGGGTGTTCCACGATACCTCATGTTATATTATCNAGCTGCGTAAATTAGGTATAAGTTGAAAATGTCTCTCTGTATGAAAAAAAAAAACAAAAAAAAAAACCGATAGATAATATCAAGTCAAAAGGTTATAATCTTGATATAATCTCCTGTTCAGCTTTATCAGTTTTTCAACGAGGCTCTATTAGGGGTTTTGACCATACTGGATATTTGGGTTAAAAATTGACAGGACACACGAAATTAAGGGGGAAAATTAATGGGGTAGAGCACGTTTAGATCAGATAAAACGGGACATTAATTGAGTAGGAAATCGTTAAGCTGCGATTAACAGGATACAAGATATTTAGGCCAAAAATTAATAGGATAAGGGATACACAGCCCTTACCCTCCTTCCCCATAAGGACCTCATAAAATATAAACATAAAGAATAAAGTATGCCAACTGCTATAAGCATTTACTCTGGACTTTTAGTACTTATATCACGGTGAAATATGAGAGTTTGGTATCTGATTGTAGGGGTTTGAGGTTAGGTAACGCATCCCCTTGTTAGTTATTTCTAAGCCCACACTCGTTACCCTACTACCCTGAATAAATAGACGGGGTTAGAGACGGGGCTAGAGAAATAAACAGAGAATTAAAAGTGTTCCGAATTCTGTACAGTTAAACACGAACGTCTTACATGACACCCTCTGTATCTTTGCAACGAGATCGAGGCACAACATCCCACACTATATATGTAACCATTTATCCTAAGCTCATTGACAGCCATTAGTTTTTCCGGAGCGTTTTAATTTACTACAAATAAAATGGGGATAGAATTGCAATAAAAAGCCTCTTACTGGTTTTTTTGTTCAGCATTATATGATACTTGTGTCTTTCGCTGCCCGAAGTGCCATCAAATGCTGCTGAAAGGCAACGGACTGACAAGCAGTGCGCAAGAAGTAATGGTAAGCGGCGTTTTATTCAAACTCCTAATATCTTCTAAGCCGTCTCACTTTTGCATCAGGCAAGGAAATGCTAAGATAATAACTGAAGAACCATTTACAGGACGGTTCATGTTGACTTGTTCCTGAAAGAGAAAACCTATTTGACTACGCTAAAATATGCTATAACGACAGTCGTGTTATTCACCCGGTCCTAGCAATTTCTACACTTCCAGACCCTGCTAAATAAATTAAACCTAAAGGCTGGGCCCTGAAACTGGCGAAACTGGCCACTCGTTTCAATGAAAAACAAAAAAAATACCTTGAAGAAACGTTTTTCTTAGGTCAGGAGACGGCCATAAAGTGGAAGCAGTTACTGTATCACAAAAGATGAGGGCAGAATTGGGGGTTCATCTTAGATGAGTTCCTGACTTCTCGCCACGTTCAATCCTTCTTCTCCAGGATGGCTGCGAACCTCAGAAACAGACAGGAGGAGGTCCTCGAAGAAGACATAACAGCCCGCTGAGAATCGAGCTGCAGATATTCTTGCAATTGACAAGTGTCAGTTAAGGTGGCTGAACTCAGTTTTGATACCTGTGTTTCATTCACCTTTTTCTCTAAAACCCTTGATCCCTCGGTCGTCAAAAATGGTAGCAAGCTAGTTAACAAGACAAACTTTGGTTTTTTGATGGTTAAGCTGACGTATGTGCCGTTGCCATGGCAACATGAATAAATATAAACAGGCCTTTAAAATCGGTTTTGTTTATTT